CAGGAGGTGGGGGGCCGACACAGCACAGTCCAGAGCTCCTGCAAGTGCCACCCAGAGCCTCGGGCACGGGGCAACTCTCGCCCACTCGGAGCGGGCTCAATGTCCTTGGTTTCCTTCCCACCCATGTGAAAGACCCTTTCCCAGACCAGGGACTGGGTCTGCCAGAGCCCTGGGGCTTCTGGGACGCTGGGGCCCCTCTGCGCAGGAAGTCTGTTTGTGTTGAAACCCTGCTCTGGCCAGGTTTCCCGGTTGGGCCTGGGAGCTGGTCACTTTCACGTTCACACACATTCTTTGTTTCTTGTACAGGCAGCTCTCACGGGTCCTTGCTGTGAGCCAAGATCCATCTCACACACCACTTGGAAGGCCCGGTGCCGTGCTTTCTCAACGCCGGCGTCCAGTCTCCCCCGACTGTGGGCAAGTGGAGACGCTTTGTCCCACAGTCAGAGGGCCCAGAATCCCAGGCCATGGGAGCCCCAGTGCCTGAGAGGAGCAGGCCCCAGCCAGGCAGCAAGGTGGAGGAAAGAGGTCTAAGTCTTGGCTCCTCTGCTCGGCCCTGACATGACAAGAGACTAAGATGGGAGTCATGGGGAACAAAGGAGACCTGACAGTCCCGAGTTAATGGGCAAGACTGTCTCCTGCTCTGGAGCAACTCGTGGAGGGCTGAGAGAGGAACCTGTGACGAGAAGGGTCCCCGCGCCTTGCCCACAGCTGCCCTCGTCCACTCCAGCACAGTGAGGGTGTCTCCACAGACCATTTGGGGGGCTCCAAATATGATTCTGGTGGGCAGGAGGCCGAGAAGGCCAACGAGGCCAGAACCAGAGGACAATGGTGGCCACGCGAGGAGTCGCACACACGGGGCCCTCAGGGTGGGACCGAGGTGGCCTGTGAGGTCTGCATGCAGTGCAGGGCTTGAGGAGACCCGGGCATCAAGAAGCTGGGGGTCAGCAGAGTCTGAGGGGCCGAGGAAAGGGCTGCGGTGGTCCCCGAAATATATTCGCATCTGCCAGGTCAAGGGACCTGTGGTGTGGAGTCTGAAACACCATGAGAGCCTGACAGAAGAAGCCTCTGAACTACCACCTGGAAGGCTCTGGACCCCAAGATTCAGCACCCGCTTCTACGAGCGTGTCCTGCCCCAGGCCCCTCCCTGCCTGGGGCTGTGTTGGCCAGCCAGGGAGGGTGACACAGAAACACTTAGGGAGAGGTGGACTAGGCACTCTGCTCTCGCCATAGGCAATCAGGCCGGCAGCACCCCAGCTTGGGTAAAGCAAGGAGGTTTTTTAATTTGCCAGAGGGTGCGTGTGCTCACTTAGAGAGAGAGAGAGAGAGAGAGCGAGAGCGAGAGCGAGAGCGAGAGAGAGAGAGCCCACTCCCATGGGGAGTGGTCATGCTGCAATCCCTTCTCCATCCTTCCTTCCTTTCAAGATTTTGGGCACACCTGCACACAGGCCCAGTGTGTTTCTCAAGCTGTGGGGTCTGGGACTCAAACTGTAAGGTCATCCATGTGGGATCCAGCCTCCATAACCACCTTGCTATGGCCCTATGGCCTGACCTGAGCCAAGTAGATTTAGTGCCGGCCCAGGTTTGGTGTCATCCTTCTTATATGGACCAAGTGGGGACAGTATATGACTCAGTGCCTGTAGGAACGCCAGGGACATGACAGGTGGTTAGCGGGGCAGGGCACTGATGTGCACTGCACAGATACATGGGCAACGGGACGGAGCCCAGAGGCTCAGGGCCCCTCATGCACCATTTGCAGCACACGCTGGATACAGGCGGTGGGTCTGCCAGGCCCTGGGCTCAGCGGTTGGATCTGTTCTTCCTGGATGCATGAGGCTGGGCAACACCCCAGCATCTTCGCTGTGGGGCGGTGTTATCAGCCTCCTCCCAGGACAGGCGCTTGGTGAGGGCATGTGCTCAGTGCAGCTCCACCGAGACACAGGGGCTGTGGTGCCTCTGCTGCCCCGGCACAGCGGATGGCAAGAGAGGTGGTTTGGAAGTCCGTGGCCCTGCTCCCACCGAGTGCTGGGGACTACGTCCCTGCTCCTGGGGCCTGGGCAGGACTTTGGGACTGTGGCAGAAGTGAGGCTGCACGACTTCTGAGGTGGTCACGAAGAGGCCGTGATGCAGCTCTGGCTAGTCCTGTGGGACCTGCGTTCTGGGAGACAGCCCTGCTCTGCAGGCGCTGACAGTTCCGTGAGGAAGCCCAGGCCACGTGGGGAAGGCACAGGGATGTCTTCCCCAGTCACAGCTGACAGCAAGCATCAGCCTGTGAACAACAATGCCTCCAGAAGACTCTAGCCCCTTTCCTGTGCAACGTCCAGCCCACAGAATGGACGTGTACTGGAATGGTGTTCCATGTCCTACATTCTAGGGTGGCTGGTGACGAGGCAGCAGTGCCGGGCATGGCTGGGGCTGAGGTGAGGGCCACTGGCTCCCTGTCCAGTGCTGTCGGCTGCCAAACACTGGCCTCATCTGGACAGCATCAGAGCCTCCTGGGAGAGGGGGCACACCTGCCAGCGCTGTGCTCTGGGTTCCCAGACCACCCCTAGAGCTCACGGTCCAGTGGGCAAGACGGCAGGCCACAGCCTTCCCCAGGGCCCTGTGGAGTCAGTCTGTGTGCAGTGTTCCGACAGCTGTGCCACCAACAAGTGGGATTAAACTGTCCCAGTCCCAGGGCTAGGAAGGCTCCAAACCCGAGTCGGCCTGAGCCCAGGGGTGGGCTTCTACCTCTAGGCCATCAAACAAGGAGGCCCCATGGAGTGTCTGAGCGGCCTGAGGGTGTGAGGCCAGGACTTTCTTGGAAGCGTGTTCCTGCCCCAGAGTCTTAGAGAAAACCTGTCAGCCGGTGAAGCCACACGGAGGTGGGGCCGACCAGCCCTGGAAATGTCTTCGCCGGTTCCAAAACACACAGAACAGGACTTGCCCTCTCTGGGGGTCATGTTCTTCATGATTTTTTCTCTCCAGGAAAGTATTAGTTCATTTATATAAACTAGACATTAGTTTATGTAACTAGTGTGGGGGGAAAATGGACAACGTGGCACTCCGGGCCTTTCTTCTCCAGACCCAGAAGCTGAGAAGGTTTCTGCATTTCCTTTCTCACAGTCAACTTGCTGGGTGGAACTGCCACACAGCCGTTCCTCGGGGGTGGAAAGTGGGCTCAGGGGCCGTCCCGAGACACTGCGCACAGCCTCGGCTCAGATGAAGACCACCCTGACAGCAATCGAGACCTCAGGGGGAGCCACAACCACAGCTGCCGTCGACACCAGGCCCCAGTTCTCCCAGCCCCGGAGGCAGGTGCACTGCTCGGAGACGAGCGTGTAGCCTCGAAGGGCCAGAGAGCCCTGGTCATCCTGGTGTCTCCCACACTGGCTTCCTTTGCCCCTCGTGACCATGGCCGCCCGCCTGACCCGCTGGAGCGTGAGCTGGGAGGGCAGGGCTCACCTCGTTCTCATGGGCACCTGGCTCAGAGCAGGTGCTCGGCTGGCACAGGCCCTAGGCATGCGAGCCCTGAGGGAATGGATGAGCACCTCTTGGGCCTTTTCTTGGCAGGTGTGGGGGTGTCTGACTGCTGGGAAGAGCCCTGAGCTGGAGCCCAAACCCCTCCTGAGCAGCTGAGGGAGGCTGCGTTCCTCCCATTCCTGGGACTGCAAGAGGCACATTCCTGTCCCCGTCGGGCTCCTGCCATGCAGCTCAGTCTAACTGCCAGACTCAGGAAGGCCTCCCTGGAGCTGGTCCTTGGGCCTGCCCTCCACAGGACCCCCTGGCTACCCTACGACAGCAGCACCGGCCTGTCGGTCATCTGTGGCTGAGAAGGAAGCCAGGACCACTGAGTATATCTGAAGCCTTCCAGACACTCCCCGACCCTCTGGTGAGCCATAAAAACCTTCACATCCTGCTTCCAGGGCTGAAGCCAGGGATTTGGAAAATGGGTGGAAAACACTCCTGTGAGTGGGGCTTGCTGCTCTGTGCAGAACTGCCCGCGTCAGCACTTCTCTGGAAGGCCGTGCGGAGTCAGCAGTCGGCTCCAGCCTCTGAGAACCAGGTGTCCGCAGGGCCCAGCAAGGAGCTCGGGGGCCGGGGCTGAAGGTGCAGGTGGCCATGGGGTTACCCAGTACCCCTACACGCTGGGCTCTAGGCGGTCCAGACTGGGCCACTGCCTCAGGGGCTTTCAGAGTGGCAGGAAGACTGACACAGGGCCAGTACGCACAAACAAGCTGCCTGACTACTGAGGGAAGCCCCAGGGCGGAGCTGTCCAGGGAGCTCACTGCAGGAGGGTGGGACCCAGGGGACAGCAGGCACGCCTCTGTGGGAGGCCAGGTGGTACATGTTTCAGGTCTTGCAGGCCAGGGTCTTTGTTCCAATCACTCGATGTGTGGACTCAGCCAGGCACCACGGCGGTCCTCTGCTGCGAGCTCTCATGCCACCTCTGCTCTGTGGAGGAGCCCACACAAGGTAGGGAGGTAGAGAACAGAGCCAGGACACAGCAGGGCCTGGGCGTGACTGTGAAGCCTGCGCTTCAATCTCTAGGGGACTCTGACTGTGGGTGTATCCCAAATATACGAATGAAGTGGGTGCTCCTGGAAGATGAGCCACCTGGAGTGCCTTTGGTACCATCTGAGTCTGGTGCCAACAAATACCCTGGGCGTCCTGTGCACCCCCAGAGCACATACACCCAACGCTGGGCAACAGGCCTGATGACGAAGGTCCAGGAGCCTGGAGATCCTGGGTTTTTCTCAACCTTCCACCTCGGGGCTCTGCTCCTGCCTGTTGGGACTGTTCAGTCCCAGGCTTCATTCCCAGGGTCTTCCAGGAGCTCCAGCACAGAGGTGTCCCACAAGGGCCCCACATGGCCAGGAGCCTGCACAGCTGGTGCAGAGGGCTGTGAACAAGGATGGCCAAGGCTGCCACGCTGCAAATTCAACCCTTTGGCTCCAGGTCAACCCTGGCTGCCACGTCTGGGCCCTTAGAGGGTTTGGCCCCAACCACGGCAGCTATGATACCTGCGAGATCTTCCTTGGATGAGACCAGTCTTGGAGAGCTGCTTCCTGGTTCAATTCGGAGCGACAGTCTGGAAACAAAGAATCACAAGGTCAGATGGGCTCTGGTTTCTCACAGGGGAAACCGAACAGGTGGGTTTTGGGGTTGGGATATGGGTCCAGGCAGACTGAGAGCCTCATCCCTCTAGATTGTCAGGGAGTCCTGTGACCAAGGAGGAGAAGTAGAAAGAGTGACGATGGCCCCTCATTTTCTGAGCCTGTAACCTCATGACAACCCTGTGAACTAGATACACGGAGTAGAGAAGGAACAGGAGTAGTGAGGTTCGAGCAGCTTCTCCATCCTCACTGTCTGGCCTGATGGGGTTTTATCACTGCACTGCAATCCCTCCCAGCCGCCCCTAGAGAGAGGCAGGAGGCAATGGACATGCTGTGAGGACTGGCACTCAATATTTCCTTCAAGCACTGATTAATTTGTGGGCAGATACGACAAAGGGCTTTCAGATGCTAGACCCTCCCTCTCCCAGCAAAACCAACAAGCCATCTAAGCACTCAGAGAGAACTCACTGGTGCAGCTAAACTGGGAAAGGGGCAGGACCTAAAGCCATGAGCTTGGAAAACTTGCAGCCAAGGGAGGGAAAGGAGGGTTCTGGAACTAGTCTGAGGGTGCAGCATGCACGGCTCCCTGAGACGTCTCAGTGCTGAGTGGGGTCCCTACCCTTCCCTCCTCTGAGTGGCAACAGATCCTGGGATACTTGCAGGAAATGGGGGGAGGGCCCAGTGGACTCCCTGAGGGAAGTGAAGGCTCCACAGGGCTGTGTTTGAAAATCAGGGAGGGGTCAACAGGTGGCGTGGCGGTTAAAGGCACTGGACTCCCACATGGTCGACCATGGTTTGAGTCCCGGACCTGGCAGCTTGCTTTCTCACTTTTACTCTCTCCCTCTCTCACTCTGTCCTTCCTGGTCAAATTGAAATAAACAAATGGATAAATAAAGTTAAATTAAAAAAAAAGAAAGAAAGAAAGGAAAACTAGGGAATCCCTCCTAGAATGGGATACAGCCCCCCCTCCCGTAAGGTGAAGGAAACCCCAATATGGGCCTGTTCCTGGAGGCCACATAATTGAACAGCCCACTGGCTTCCCGCCTCCATGGAGGCTAAGCCTTCTACTACCCTGGGCTACAGAAGAGGAGGAAGACTAGGAACCCCCCACGCCCCAGTCACAGCCAGCAGGAGGGGACGGCCAGCCCCTCGTACACATGGAGGGCCACCATCTGCCTCCCTGTGTCAGAGCTGTGGACATCCCCACAGAGCCTCCCAAGCGGGGGTCGGAGGGAGGGAAATGGCATGTGGACAGCAAACAGAGGGGGCTTTGCCCAGCCCAACCCAGAGGCTGCCCCAGGGGGCCAGGAAGTGCCCCCACCCCCACCCCAGTGATCTGAGGAACTTCATGGGGTGAGTCCAACAAAACCTGCAGAGTAGGGTGACAAAGCAAAGGACCTGATGAAAAGGCAGACTGGAGACCTGGGGGAGCCGGTCCAGGGTGAGGACAAGAGGGCTGAAGGCCGCCACGTGGAAGTGGGTCAGTGCGGTCAGCAGGGTGACTGCTGAGGGGGTGCAGAGGTTGGCGCGTTAGGGCAGAGTGTGGGGAAACGGGGGCGGGGAGCAGAGGCCCAGCACCCACAGATTCCAGGAATCCCTGGAAGAGAGAGGCCGAGAAATGGCATGGAGGGAGGAGCCAGAGATGGCAACCAAAGGTGTTCCCCTGAAGTGCGGAGAGTGCACGCTGAGGTCCAGGGAAATGGGGACAGAGCCTCGGGGCTGAGCCGTTCCCTTATTAAGCCTCGAACACCAGGGAGTCCTTCACCAGCAGGCAGAGGGCCCAAGTCACTTCCAAGAGGGAAAATCCCAGAAGGTGCTTTACAAAAAGGCTGGCTAGAGACCTCTGTAGCAGCACCCAGGACAGAAGGCACCAGGGCCAGGTCTGCAGTCCCAAAGGAGGGAGGCCAGGTCAGGCTAGGCCGGTGCAGACAGCTCCCTCAGGAAAGGCGTGAGGGAGCCACGGGCTGCCAGCACTTTCCGTGGGAGGTGAGGGGACCTACTACCTGATGAAATCCAGCTGAAGAGGGGGCTGATTTAAAACAAAGACCCTGGGAATGGGAAAGCTGTGGAGAAACAACAGGTGGTAGAAATTGAATCTGTTTAAAAATGCTCAACAGTGGGATTATGATTCTTGACCACGATGTTTATGTTATAAACTTGGACGAGGTGGTGAGGATAATATAGCTAACGAGAAGTCGGCAGCTGGTGAAGTGGCGTGAAGGAATGGGGAGAATGTGAATAGACACGTCTCTCATAACCAGAGTCACCTGATGCGGTACGTGATGGACACCTAGTTAAAATGAATCGTATTGATTCAAGGGCCAGCAGGTGGCATGAAGGTTAAGGCGGCTGAATCCCACCTGGTTGATTCCATGGTTCGAGTCTCGGACCTGGTGGCTTGATAATCATACCAGGTGCGTGTGCATGTGTGCCCAACCCCAAATCCCAGGAAGAAAATGGAGGGCAAGGGATTGCAGTGTGGCCATTCCTCACCCCTCCCCTGGGGGGGGAGGGTGTTGATTTCTCACTTTTCTCTCTGTAAGTGCATGTACTCTGTACCAAAACTAAAAAAATTATTGATTCAAACTTCTTCATGTTATTCCTGACCTCTGATGTTAAGAGGATAAAAGAGCCTCTTTATTTTAGGTAACAGTGTAATAGTGTCTCTTGTGGTAAATAAATACTTATTTGGGACCAGCAGTTAGCATAATGGCTATGTCGCTGGACTCCCACGTAGTCGACCACGGTTCGTGTCTCGGACCCAGCGACTTAAACTCACACCGGGTGCGTGTGCGTGTGTGCCCAAGATCCTAAGAGGAGAATGGAGGAGAAGGGATTGCGGCATGGCCATCCCCCCTGGGGGGTGATTTCTCGCTTTCTGTCTCTCTGTCTCTCTCTGTCTGTCTGGCGAGCGCACACGCCCTATAGCGAAAACCTCTCCACCCTATAGCGAAAACCTCTCCAAAAAAAAAAAAAAAAAAGAAATACTTATTTAAAGAGCAGCAATTCCTTACATTTTATTCCATTTCCTTTTTCTGGGTAAATTAAAATGAGAGCTAATACTTTTAAGTAAAAATACCAAATGTGGCCGACAGCCATGGTGCAATGGTAACGCAAGGCTCTGTGAATGCTAGCCCATATGAGAAGGTCCCCGGTTTGCATCCCAAGAACTCCCTAGCACACCAGTAGGTGTGTGCCCAGGGTCTGGGCAGGGTGAGGCTGGGGGTGGATTGTAGCAGGATGACTGTTGTGGGTACCTATCTCTTTGTGTCTCTATCATGGAAGAAATAATTTAACTTTCTTTAAAAAATGGCAAGTGTAGTAGGCTCCAATTTTAATAAATTCTGTCCTGAATCTGTCCATCTATTTATCCTTCTCTATGTATATATAAATTTCTGTGCACAGAAAAACATCTCAAACTACAATATGTTCACTTGAGGCTGCCGGTCCTGTTTTCTAGGCAGTGGAAATTGGGTAATTTTCCTTAAATAAAATAGACAAACGGCTGAGACACACAGAGCGCTGGATGGGCCTCTTGGCATGATGTCTCCAAAACAGACAGGGGCGGGTGTTGGAAATGCAAGGCCGTGAGCAGAATGAGGAAGCTGTCTCCAGGTGTGGAGTGCGGGCTCCTCAGAGTCACAGCCTATCTATCTCTTGCCACTTGAGCCAGGATCTCCCTGGGAAGGGACTCCCTCAATGGTCTGGAGCCTGGGGACAAGAATGCTGGCTTCCTCCCTGGGTTTGTCCACTTGGGCCATAACAAAGGGCCTTTGTGGGACGCTGGCTGACTTGTTTAGCATCAGTGCTGGGGGCTTAATGTCCCTCCCTCAGAATGGAAGGAGTAATGAAATCTGTATACTGTCCAAGGGTTATCTCACAGTCAGAATTATTTATAGTCCATTCTTCTTAGAGGATATTAGTGCTAATAAAAAACTACTGTCTCTTTAATTGTAATACTGGCCCATGAATGGAAAATATTATCCCAGAAAGTGGGATTGATTTTGCACTCCAGGGTACTCTTTTCAGGAATAGCAAAACAGTATAAAAATAAAATGAATTCATTTGTGTGAACATAATTTTAACAGTAATCTCTGGCCTTTATCCATTGTTGTTACTACTATGGAATAGATCACAATTTCATATTCCATTTTATTTTAACAAGTTAGTTTATAATAACAACTAAAGACAACATGGCTATATTCCCAAAGATCATTAGAGCCATCTAGAAAGCTTTGGAAAGAACACAAATTTCCAGGCCCCACCCCAGGCATCTGGGTGGTCAGAAAGTTTCCCAAATGATTCTGATTTCCAGCCTGGGCTGTGATTCGCTCCTGGAGAGCTGGCAGGTGGAGCGCTCTCTGGACAACCATCCTCCTTGGGGTCTTCCCTGGGAGAGGATCATGGATAACCTGGGGGTTATCTCTAGTGGCCACAATCCTCTACAGTTTTCACTGACTTAGAAAACTGAGTAATTGGGCTGGTCAAATTCATAGACATGAGGGACCAGCAGCTGGAGTAATGGCTATGTCGCTGGACTCCCATGCAGTCAACTGTGGTTCAAGTCCCAGACCTGGCAGCTTAAACTCATACCAGGCATGTGTACATGCATGCCCAAGATCCCAAGAGGAGAATGGAGGAGAGGGGATTGTGGTGTGGCCAACCCCCCTGGGGGGTGATCTCTCACTTTCTGTCTCTCTATCTTTCTGGCAAGTACACGCGTCCAACAGCCAAAACCTCTCCCCCCCAAAAAAATTCATTGACATGAAACTTAGAGATTGAAAAGTATACTGGCTAATAAAATTCAAAGGAATCATGGTATACTATGGGCAAATAGGAGCATGTAAAGTTGACCTTTGGGTGGTAAATGATCAACCACAGGCTGGCTGAGACTTGCTCTGATACCAGGTCATTTGAAAAAGTGCCTCAAGCTCGAAATGAGCCAAGAGGACAATCAATATGGCGGACAGAGTTGACACTCAATCCTTCTCCCTCCAGATAGGTGGGAATGCTGGCTAAGTCCCCAGGAGTCACAGATGAAGACAGAGCTGAAGAGCAGAGCAAAGTGAGTGGAAGATGAGGCCAAAGGACCTATAGGGGTCTTCATGAGAGCTGAGTCTTCTTCGTAGGGGTTGCCTGGGAGGGAACTGGGGCCTCGGCCAGTGCCAGATGGCAAAAGCCCTGCAGTTGGCTGAGAACCACAAGGAACTGTCTGGTCCATGAGATGGGCTCTCAGAGAACTCTGCTGGCCTAGAGATGCAGCTAGAAAGCGGCCCTTCCACCCAGAGCCATGAGTAGGAAGTCTCTTGTTAGAAACCAAGCTCCATGCCATCTTTGTGAATAGCCATGGAGACCACGTTCCCATTCCCGGGCCCCGTGGGAAAGCCACGCGGAGACCTTAACAGCCGCTCGGTGTGGGGGCCTGCGGGATGGGCGAGGAGCTGCTCATTCAGTTGTGAGCACACTGCACACTGCTGTGCGTGCCGGGCACGAGTGCTGCTGCAGAGAACTGCAATACGCCTACAGGTGGTTGCTCACGCGGCCCAGCAGGACCAGGCTGCTATGGGGACCTGAACAAAGGGCGAGGGCTGGGCTGACGACCACAGGATGGGTGGGCACTTACTTGTAGTTGTCGTCTTCCACAAACTTCTGGAGCTCCTCAATGTAGCGGACAGACTTCAGGTACTTCTGCACGTGGGGCAGGGTTGTGAGGTGATCTGCCAAAAGGGGAGAGAACCAGAGGTTGCAGCCTCTCCCCATTGCCAGGCCCCAGACAAGGAGTGCAGGATGGCTGATTTTAGAAGCTGCTTGATTTTGAGACTCCTTCTCTTTCTCACAGTTGCTGGCACTCCTTGGGCCAGGCCCTGTGCTGGGCACTGGGCACAGAGGCATGGTCAGGCCTGGGCTCCGCCTTTAGGAGTGTCCCCAGATGGCTGGGGCACACAGATGCTGAGGCCGCCAAGTGGCGCACCCACACAGATCCCGCTGTGACTGCAGTGAGGACAGGAAGGAGGCCCTTTCCCCAGCCACCTGTCCAGGCCAGGCGGTTGACTGGTGTCAACCCTCACACCTGCCTCATGTGGGAGACAGCAACCACACGGAGTAGAAAGCCATGGCAACTCGCACAGGGCACGTCACTGGGAAGTGGCAGAGACGTGTTCTGAGCCCAGGTCAGCTGACGATCGGCCACACAGCATGGCCTCTCTGCCCTGGAGCAACTGACACCAGGTCCCGAGACCATCAGGGTCACTGCCATCTTCTGGGAGGGTCACGGGGTGGGCCGGAACAAGTGAAGGGGAGAGGTGGGAGGAGTGGAGGGGGGCATGAGGAGGGCGTGAAGAGGAGCGGAAGGGGGGCGGAGACGGGGACGTGTGTCAGGTGCTGTGCTGTCCCTTAGTAGAGATTCTGAGTAGGCCATTTTTTCTCTAAAGTCTCAGTGGTGTCTCTGGAGTGAAGGCAATGACACTTGCTCCACAAAGCCAAAGGTGGGGACAAGCAGGTGAAGGTGACATTGGTGACAGCAGGGAGTCAAGCTCTGATGCAACACTGGGCTGTGCTATGGGCACACTGATGTCCTCACTGTCACATGCGGGAAAACCTCAGAGAGCAGAGCTGAGAGGTGACCTGAAGCCCGTGTCTGTGACTGCCCTACTGCCTGACTGCTTAGGGGACAACAGTGAGTTTGTGGAAGGGGCCTGAGGTGTGAGGCCTGCACTGGGAACCAGAACTGTCAGACACGCCCTGCCCTGCCACCACCCTGGGACGCTCGTGGAGGGCTGGCAGGCAGGACCCTACCTCAGTGAGGCCACCCTGTAGAAACCCGAGGTGGCTCCCCTGTGGGCTTCCCAAATGGAGGCTGCTGACTCCTCATACCCTGTGGGACACACAGGGCGGCTGGTGTCTTTCTTGGCCCCTACAGGTGCTTTGACACCTCTCGTGAAAACTGGTCCCTGCAGCTCTACCACCGCCGACTCCTGCCCGGCCGCCTGGTCACCTGCCCCCTCTTTCCAGCCGACTCCTCCTGCTCGGATGCCCTGTCACCTGTGCTCACTCATGGAGGACTTGGGCACCAGGCTCAAGCTGAGCTCCACACCCTAGAGTCCACGTGGATGGCCCAGCAGCATCCTGACTTCTTGGTTCCTGGCCCCCTTCGCCAACAGCCCTCTCCTGTTTCCACCCAGACACCCGCCACATGGCCCGACTATGGCCCCAGCTGCGTACCACACCGTGGCCCTCTTCCCTCTGGGCCAACGGCCAGACATTTCCTGACCTCCCTCGTCAAAAGGGATGTACACCATTTGCAAGTTGGGCCTGTAAAGCCCGCCGTCGTGAGTCCCCCTCTTCCTGCATCTGCCAGCTGGATGCAGTCCAGGGAGGGCTCTGAGGCTGTGGGAGAGAGAGGGAAGGACCTGGCCCCCGAATCTGTTTGGGAAGAGCTGCCCAGGAGCCACTCACAAAATTCTTTGTGAATGAGTGACCCGGGCTCTGCCACTCACTGGACACGGGACCTTGGACAAGCAGCCAAGCACTGAGCTATTTTCAGCCTTGGCTTCCTCATCTGTAATACGGAAATGCTATTTCTGTGTTATCTAGTGGCAGTCTTAGTAGAGGAAAGCTGTATGGATCTAGCACACCTTAGATGCTCAGGATACTAAGATACAGAGCGTTGTGGGGGGCTACCTGGTCTCTAGAGCTTTCTCACTGACGAGGTGCTGGACCCACGTGATGCTCAGTGATACGATTTCACAGTCCTATCAGTCCAGCATACTAACCGTAGCTGCAGGAAACTTGTAAATCAGCAATGATTCGGAGAATGTTGTTCATCTGATTGGATCTTTGTTCGTTTTCCATGATGCTGCCTGAGGCAGGGTATGCAGAATCAATGTAGATTAAGTCCAGAAGGTAGATCCCTGAAATTAAAAAAGGCACGTAGTGATGGTGGGCGCTTACCACTCGTCAGGACAAAATGGAAGGAAATTGCGCTGCCCTGCTACGAGACAGGAAGGGCGGGCGACTGACAGAAAACTGAGGTACGATTCAGACGTCAACTCCAATCCTGACCACTCGCTTTTCACCGACTGCTTAGCTGTAAGTCAAACCTCTGAGCAGCAACCAAAATGAATGCTAGTGGATTTCAGCATGTCTAGTGTACACTTTCTCCAGCAATAAGGCTTCTTACCTGTGAGCAGACTAGAAAGAGCAGGGTGTGAAAGGGATGGAGACTAGTGTTTTTCACCAACCAATGAAGTTTAATATTATAAGCCTAAGGCGTCATGTCCAGGGAAACACCCATTTGACTGAATTCAGATTTTTAATGATTCACTTAACTGCCCGTTTGTCTGTCTGTGTATACACACACACACGCGCGCACACACACACACACACACATATGCGTGCGCGCATACCATAAATTAACCAAGGGACTAAAGAAGAAATTAAAAAAAGCAACAGTTCTCAGTCCAAAGAACTAAGGCTAGACAGAATTTTCCCGAGGGTGTGTAGTAAGAAAACACGGTGTGATAGGAACACATGGCTGCGACAGGCCAGTGAAGGCTGGGAGGAAGTCGGGCCAAGCTGCCTGGCCAAGGAGGAGAATGGGCACTGGCTGTGGAGCGTGAGCCAGGCATGGCTCTGGGCTGGCTGGGCAGGACTGTGCCTCAGACTGCTGACAAGTGGGTGGACGATGTGCAGCATGTCCTTCCTGCAGCCCCATGGGCACTGCTACTGGGTCTGCCGTCCTGGGGTTGGGCAGAAGGGATGGAAAGCAGAATTCAAGGCAGAAAGCACTGAGCCAGACGAAGGGGAGTGATTGCTAGCTATGAAAAGATAGCTGATTGAGAGGATCTAATGCTCATACATTTCTATGCCTGGAACAAAATTACAGCAAAACAAAGCCCCACCCATAGAGGGAGCCTTTGGCATGTCTCTTCCAGAATTTGTGTGTATATATCTATCTGTATGTCCACATATGTACACACATACACATACATCTAGCATATTAGGTACTAGTACTACACTAACAAAGTCAGTTTTTTTGTTTTGTTTTGTTTTTTAATTTTGCTGTAAGGTGTGTGCGTTCACTGGAGAGACAGAGAGGGGGGAAAGTGAGAAATCACTCTCTGGGAGAGATGGCCATGCTGCAATCCCTTCTCCTCCATTCTCCTATTGAGATATCGGGCATACGTGCACATGTGCCTGGCGTGTTTTTCAAGCTGCAGGTCTAGGACTTGAACTGTGCAACTGGCCATAAGAGATCCAGCTCCCGTAACTGCCATGCCACCAGCTGACCCATAAGCTTGAATTTTTATAAATGAAAATTTGTATATAGTTCTTTTTAAATACCTGTGTAATACTTACAAAAATGAATTACACACTAGACTATGAAGAAAAGCTCAGTAAATTTCAAAAAGCAACTGCCATATTATCCACTTTTTTTTTTTGTAGATTTTTTTTTTTTCTCACAGGGCACGTGCACTTGCCAGAGAGACACAGAAAGAGACAAGGAGAAGGAAAGTGAGAAATCACCCTCCAGACGGGGTGGCCATACTGCAATCCCTTTTCCATTCTCCTCTCTGAATTTTGGGCATGCATACACATGGTTTGGCATGTATTTTTAAGCCACTGGATCCAGGCCTTGAACTGCAGAGTCAGCTATGTGGAATCCAGCACCTTAACCAGCCTGCCACCTGCTGGCCCTATCCCCATTTAAAAAATTTTTACTACAATACATCTAGGATTTAACAAAAATGATTTTTAAAAAATCTGACCACTTGAATACACACAAATGCACACTTTCTCTCTAAGTAACTCTGAGGTCAAAGAAAAAGCAAGGGCCAGTCAGTGGCCTGGCGATTAAGGCATCTGGAACCCAGATGGCTAGCTGTGCGGTTTGAACCCCAGATTTAGTGGCCTGAGAAGCATGCCAAGGATCACGAGGTATCCATCCTCTATGTGTCGGGGGTACTTTCTCATGTTCTCTCTCTCTCTCTCTCTCTGGCGAGAGTGTGCACTTTCTAACACACTTTAAAAAGAAAGGAAGAGAGCAATAAATGATAAAATAAAAAACCTGCTTGAAAACAATGACAAGAATACTACATATCAAAACTTACAGTTTCTGGCCAAAGTGGCAACCAGAGGAACATTTATAGCCTTCAAAGTTTACTGTCACAAACACAGGAATTAACCTGGTACTTAATACAAAAGTTGTGGGAGTTTGGCACAGATGGAAGCACTGCATTACCAGTTACACACTCATTATCTTATTTATCCACCCGACAACTCATTTTATAGAGGAGGACAAGGAAACTCAGAGAGGATGTGTAAGTCGTTTGAGGTCACATAGCTGGTAAATGATGGCGAGGGAGCTGAACCCAAGCCTTCCTCCTCCGGAGCACATGCTTCCTGCATCACAGTGGAGCGCTGGTGCTGGATACCATGAGTCATTAGTCTGCTTTTAAAATAGCTACGCATTGTCATGGGAAACCATTAAATCACAGAAACATATGCTAATGCTTCTCCTAAGAGCCATTTCTGCTTCCTTTCTCTCTGGCAGTAATGTTTCCAAAATTAATAATTAGAAAAATTTCCCTTCTATAGAAGCTCCAAGTTTGATCAATTTTAACCACAGATGTGTTCTTTCTCACAACCTTCTTTTACTTCTTCCTTCTTAAAAATGTAACTCAGTTACCTCCCCACGGATTCAGTAAAGGCAATCCTGAAAATCCTATTACAGCAGCAACCACAGCAAAAAGCATCCTCCAGTACACCTCCAGGGGGTGAAGGGAGGTGGTGCACGAGGCAGCTTTATTCCAGACGCAATGTGCAGCCATACAGCCTGCCTGGCTCAAAGCAGTGGAGCAGAAGCTCCGCCAGGCTCAGAGGAAGGGAGGAGGAAGAGGACAGCTGCTTCCTGGGGATCCACTACAAGCAGGCACCTTCCCTCCTTGTCACACGTAACCCCGAGAAGAAGGTGAATCCTGCCAACGCCTCATAGCAAGTGCATTGGGACTTGAACCTGGGTCTGTCAGGTTGCTGCACACTTGTTCCTATCCACTGGTCATCAGATGCATCTTCATCGAGGAAGGCTCACTGTGTGCTGCCCTGTGAGGTCAGAGCCAGCCCCCGAACTCCCTCTCAGGTCCCTGGTGCTCTGGAAAAGCTAGCCACGGAAGGGATCAGCACACCATGTCTCCAGGCCACTCCCAGCCCTACTTTCACTCTGGGGAGATGGGCGTGGGGGCCCCACCTCATAAGACAGTACATTCAACCGCCAGAGTGTCCACCATCCTCACTACGAAACACGCAGACTCTGAAGTCTGTCTGCTCCTCAGGACCTGGGAGAGTGAGCCAAGGCCACTGCCTGCCAAGGACTGAGTGGAACTCCCAAAAGGAACCTCCCAAAAGCAGCCTCCTGGCCCCAGAGACCTGAGGAGGCCTTGAGCCTTGGCAACACCTGGACAGAGCCTCCATATAAACTACCTTGGAATCCCACAACAAAAAGTGAAGCAAAAGCAGCAAGTCTCCTACAGTTAGCATTGCAAAAATTCGGGAATTATGTATTAGTCCATAACAGAAAAACGGGGTCTTCATTAGAGGAAAAGTGGGATTAAGGTGTGAGTTTACTTTGGTGCAAAATTTTGGAGGAACCATGCATAGTTTTCTTATAAAACACATTTTCCATGAACTTGCTAAAGCCCCTCACATTTAGGAGTCTGAGCTGTAATGGAATCCTAAGGAACACCGCCGTCCCCTCGCTCCGTGTGGGCACAGGGCTGAGTCCCGGGAGCGGACAGCGCCTGCCACAGCTGCGATCAGATACATGTTGGTATCACTCACAGTTCATGTCTGCCCCTCGTCAGACCCGAAAGCCTGAGAGCAAAAGTGTGTGTCTTGCTCTACAAACTGAGAACAAAGTGCACGTGAGCTGCTTGGGAGCAGGAGCGTGAAGAGGAACGCACGAACGAAGGCATGTTTTCTTTACCCCACACAGTGCTCTAACACGGCACCCAGTATCATCCCTGTTTTGTAGCTGAAGAAAGACACGAGAGTCTTGGGATGACAGTACTAGCTAATGTTTGCTGAGCACTTACTATGGGTTCTAGGCCCCATGCTAAGAGCTTTGCCTAGATTACTGATTCCTAAGAACAAGGCTATTGTCGGAGGTTGTAGTCCTTCCTTTATAGAGGAAGAAACTGAAGCAGAGAGGTTACATCACTTCGTTGAGGTCACACAGCTGGGAAGTGGCAGAAGCAGGATTCAAATGCAGGTCTGTCCAGGCTGCCAGAACGTCAGTGCTCCTTTAATTCCGGGCAGATCCTCTGGTGCCCGTCAGCCAGTGAGGCAAGACAGGAGCATGAGTCAACCCTCCCTGGGGCACGGGGATCTGGCTCTGCCCCCCGAGTGCTCCTCTGGGGTCCACACTCTCCAAGACAGCGTATGACTATACTCCGGCCACCTTTCTTGCCACATCTACCACCTGCTATTCTCCACTGCCCTCACACCCAGCGTGGCTTATCTGTCCCAGGTCCCATCGTCAATGACGCACCCCTGGTGTCCTGACAGGCAACTACGCTGCAAGTGAGAGAGTGTGGGGCCTGCAGCCAAGAGGTTGGCACCCTGACTCCGTCATTACCAGCTGGGTGGCCTCACACAGACCTTTGTACCTCAGTTTCCTTGAATGTGAACAGGGGCAATGCCAGTGGTTGAAACGAGTCCCCTGGCCCAGGGCCTGGACAACTGAAGTGCCCAGGGACCCGAGCTGACCCTGAGCTGGCTCCAGAGTGAGGTCCCAGTCAGAGCAGCAGTGGGATTCCCATGGGAGGGATGAGCCCATGTGGGTTTGACAAATCATGGATGGCACTCAGATGCTAACCACACGGTGGCCACCCTGCAGCTAGACCGGTGCTGGGAG